AGACCTCTCCTGTCTCCTGACTGCCCGCTGCTCCCCTCAGCAATGTACTTCCTCGATCTGCCTGTTCTGCTCCCCACTCTGTGTCTGGTGAATCCTCTCACCCTCCGCATCTCTGGCCTGTACCCCAGTTCTGTATGAATAAATAAATAAAATCTTAAAAAAAAAAAAAAGAACATTGTAAGGAGTACCAAATGCATGCATAAGGAAGTGTCACTTCGCTATAAAGCAAATGTGAGAGATTTTATTTCCTCTAACTCCTGGTCAGTTGCCCAGGTACTGGACAACTGCGCAGGCCGCCACCCGACCTCTGTGGCTGTGGGCGCAGTGCTCTTTCCATCACCCAGCTCCAGCCCCGAAACCCCCTGCCCCTGTGCCAGCCGGAGCCATTTCGAGGTTCCCCCTGACCCCAGAGACAGGGAGGTGCCTACCTTCTCAGGATGTAGATGCTCCCGCTGCGGCATGCAGCGGCCAGCCGGAATTCCACATCAAACTGGCCAGACGCCTCCAGGAAGACGGGGACGCTGGGCAGGCTCATCTGCAAAGATAGGGTTCACGCTGGGTTTTCTGCGCCCAGCCCTGCCCCCGTAGCGCCTCTGATCTGCCTCCTTGCCTTCCATCCCAGCCTCCTCTGGTACAGGTTCAACAAACTCGGCAACACAAAGCAAAATTCTGTACTCTCTGACCAAGCCAAGCCTGCCATTTCTATGAATGCATTTGAGGCAGGATTCAGACAGGCGTGCAAAGATGTGTGCGCAGGAGGCCACTCTGTGGTGCTAAAGATACTGAAAAACAGAAGCCGACTTACATGCGCACTCGGTGCCCAGGAGCGCCACCTACACTGATGCCGCTCGGCCTTGCAGAGACTGATGGGCTTTAGATAATGTGCAGACGTCGATGGCAGGCTGCAAATGCAGAGCATAGGCTCCCTGGCTCTGCATGTCATGGCCACTTTTGTCAGAGTAAGTATTTATATTAAGTATTTCTATAAGTATCTGTATCTAAAGATGAAAATGTCTAGAAAGACCTACGCCGAAATCTCAGTTAATTTGCATGGTGGGGGCTGAGCTAGGTGCTGGTTTCCTGATGCCGTCTCCATTTCCCACTTTTTCATTTGAAGATGTATATATTTATGCACACAGAGCTGGGGTGTAGGCCGGAGGTGTAAGGGGGAGAGGCTTCACCAGAGGCAGAGTGGGGAGCACAACAGGCAGATCAATGAAGTACACCGCTGAGGGGAGCAGCAGACGGGCCAGGAGAGGTCTGCCGCGCTGTGTGGGTCAGCTCCGGGGCCCGGGGTCGAATTCGCACTGAAGCAGCTGCAGCCAGCCTGCAGTGCTGCGTCCTCACCCGCTGCGCCACCAGGGAGGCCCTTTCCACTTCTTCTATAATGAACATGCATCACTAGAACGAACTGGGGTGGCAGAAGTGAGGGCACAGCCTGGGCCTTGGGTCTGCCCGGGGCCAGGGCCCGTGCTGACCTTGGTCAAAACGGTGAAGGCTTCAGGGTCCAGCACCAGGAGCTCCTTGTTCTCAGTGCCCAGCACCAGGCAGGACACAGCGTCCTCATCAGCCAGGTTCTTCTTCAAGGTGGTCATGGTGGTGATGACTGTCTGCAGAAGGATGCCAGAGGTCAGCCAGGGGGTCTGTAAACACTACCCCGCCCCCGACACCCCAGGAATGCCTCAGGAGGGAAGAATGAGAGCAAAGGGGAGAAAGATGAAGAATCAGAAGTGTTTACTGCAGCAAATCTAACTTTCCAACCTAAGAGGCTTGTCTAAGTGAATCACAATCCCTAGCCATTATAGCATCCCATATTAAAAGAAGATCTAATGACAGAAGAGTGCGTTAGTGGTATCCCAGTTTTAAAAATACATGAACTGAAAACATGCTGGAAGGTTAAACCCTTAAACACAAAACCCTGGTTATCACTGGACAGTGGGATCGCAGGTGATGCCTAATTTCATATGCTTTTCGATAATTTCTACAGTAGGTACATTCATGCTCCTTTTTGCAATTGTGGTGGGCAAGCAAACAAGAGAGAAGGGGATGACCCTGTGTGGCATTTTCTCCTATGGCAATAATTAGCAGGACCAACATATGTCTTGGGGTGAAACTGATCGTTCTGTGACTGTCCATAAGATTAAAGAAGCAGATTCGTCTCCGCCTGGCCGACAGCGAGGGCCGCGGCTCCCCATCACGTCACCAAGACATGGCCTCAGAAAGACTGCTCCCCCGCCTGCAGCCTGTAAGCATAATTGACCCCTTCCTGGTTTAAAGTTGCTCAATGACCGACGGCTGTGAGCCCCAGGACAGAACCAGGCTCCCACAGAACCACTCCGGGGCCAAAGGCCAGGCACCTGTGGGTCAGTGCGTCTGCTCTGGCGCCTCCACAGGAGGTGGACGCCAGGAGGCTTTGTCAGGTGCAGAGATCAGCCCCCAGGGTCTGGTCCTGGCAGAGGGTCAGCCCTCAGGGTAGGAACAGGAGGGACCATCCCGAAGAGATGCATCAAAAAAGTCATTAAAATTACAACTGAAGATGTGAAGTAACTGAAAGGGAGACACTTCTTGCCCAATGATCTGCGTGTGAAATTATTATAAATTATGAGCAAAATCATGACTAATCGGTGAAATTACCAAGGAGCCACTAAAAATGCAATTCTTAAAATTATCTAATGCTCAAGATAGAATGTGAGACACTGAAGGGAAGCAGGATATAAAAGCTCATTTAAACAGAAAATGTATCAGTATCTCTGGTTAGTGAAAGTGTAGTCATTTCTGTTTCTCCTTTATTTATTTATTTTTAAAAGATTTATTTATTTAAGCACACAAGAACTGGGGTAAAGGTCAGAGGTTCAGAGTGGGGCGCGAGGATTCACCAGAGCCACAGCAGGGAGCAGAACAGGCAGATGGGCTGAAACCCAGCGCTGAGGGGAGCAGCGGGCGGGTCAGG